GATGCCCAACTCTTAGGGGCCAGATTCTATCCCACCTATTAGGCACATAGGTTAACACATGATGCCATTAACATGCACGCACGATGAAAATGTCACTTTGTGTGGCTTAATGACACCACAGTGTACACGTGCAAGACTTCTGTGGGTTTTAAATAACTTTGCATCATGGCAAACTAAAGTACATCTGGATGTAGTTTTTAGTTTGCAGTGTTGCAAATTGCAATGATGCAGCAGTCAGCTCACCACTTAGCTGCGGGCAGGCTCCTCAGAAAAAAAGATGGGCCCCTCACCACTTCTGCAGCTGGCAGGACAGCTGGGGCTGCCCAGGAACAGGCTGGGTTGCCACTGGGGCAGCCCATGAAGGCAGCAGGAGGGAAGCTGGGTTTTCTGGTGGCAGGGATGGTGCACGGGGTGCTAGAAGCCCAAGCCGGATGGGTGCTGCCCTACCTTGGAGGCACCTAACACAATGCTTCCCTGAGCTGGTCTGGGCTTCCAGCTCCCCATGCACCATGCCCACCACCTTCTGCCATCTTTCTGTGCTGCCCCAGGAACAAGCCATCCCTATCCCAGGTGGCCCCAGGCAGAGCTATCCCTTGGGCAGGGAGCGAACTGGGACAACCGCCCCAGACCCCGTACTTTGGGGGGCTCCACGCCCCATGCCGAGTGCACCACGCTCCACATGCCACATGCCGCTGGCTTCCAGCTCCAGCTGCTCACCACCTCGCCCTGCTCAGTGCGGGCCCGCTTGCCTTTCTCCGCTCCTCCCCCCCCTCCCTGCACAGGCTAATATGTATATGCTCTGGGCCCCACACACCCCTAGGGTAGGCTCTGGCCCCAGGTGTCCTGCCAGCTGTAGGACCCTGCTTTCAAGCAGAAGTGGCGATGGGCCCAATCCTTGTTGTTATAGAGCCTCCCCACCCCCACCCATGGCTGGTGTGGGGCAAGCTGCTGGCAGGCTGAGCAGCCCCTGAGCTTTGGGGGGCCTTGGGCCTTCCCTCTGTGGTGATGGCATCCCCTGGGGCTGCCCAAGTGGGCTGCTAGTGGGCCGGGTGCTGCCCCAACTCTGAGGCAACACTCGGTCCAATCCAACTGATCCCTGATCGTGTCCACTGGAAGCCCGCCTGGCGCTGCTCCCCCGGCAGGCTCAGGGACGCTGAGTGCTACCTCCAAGCTGGGGCAACACCCAGTCCACTAGATGCCCACCCACACAGCCCCAGGGGGTGCCACCACCATGGAGGGAAGGACTCAGGTCCCCCACAGCTCAGGGGCATCTCAGCCCACTGACAGCCCACTCCCCAGCGATCAGCAGACTCCGACTCTGACAAAAAAAAAAAAGGATCAGGCCCCCCACTGTAACATGATGAAAATAATTTAAATGGTTTAGTCCTCAGGGTTTTATTTTATGCCCCACCATTTCAGTTTAGGAGGAATTGAATAAAACCTTGGGAATTAAATCCTCGTCACATGTACAAGCGCCCTTAGGCAGTTAAGTGTGATTCTATTCCATCCTGCTTAAGTCCTTGAAAAACTGTTAATACTAAAGGTAGGTAGGTGTGTTCTTCTCCTTCTCACTGCGTTTTTGAGACTTATGCTTAAGGGTCAGATGGTACTTTATTACAAAAACAGGCAGTAATAGATTTTCAGCGACCTGAACAGGGTGGAATAGAGTCGCACTTAGGTGATTCCACGTACATGCCTAATAGATGGAGTAGAATCTGGCCCTAAGCGCCTACAGAACCAGTTGGACATCAGCCCTCAGTATGTATGTGCTTTCTCACGATGCCTTGTTTGGAGTTCTGCTTTGCTGTTCTAAGAGTGATTTAGGATTCATGTAGCTGCTTGACATAGCCGGGACTGTTGACATGAGTCAAGGTATCTCCTTACTGGATAGTGGACACTTCAGATTTTGTGCGTTTCAACTGTGTGGCATTCCTGCCCTTCCTCACGCTTGACTTACATGACTGTAATAAAGCACGCAAACAAAATGCATTTCAACATGTAATCATCAGAGGTGAACGTGACAGGAGTGATAACCCACATGCCACTCCATTTGCTCACTAGATGTAAATTGAACAGGAGCTATATATAGAAGTGAGATAGCTAATAAGTGGGAGAGGAAAACCTTCAGTGTTTCCATTCTGTACATTTACACTTCCCACAAACAAGACAAAAGAAAACCTCCTTGATGGGCTGCCAGCCGGTTGCCATCTGAGTCAGTTGCTCCAAACCACAGCCTCAAGCACAATCTGTAATACCAGATGTCACGCATTCTTACGGCCAGATCCTGAACTCGGTTACCCAAAGCTGAACCCGCTGGAAACAATGTGTTTTCCTCCCAATTCACACTAGAATAGTCGGTATCAAGATCTGGCCTGTTTCTCCCCATACCCAGTACATGTAACCCCCAAGTACTCACTGGCTGTGTCTACATGACATGCTGACTGTGCGGTAGCCAGAGACTACTGTGCAGTAGTGTCACATAGCAGAAACCATGATGCGATGCTACTGCTCAGTATTCTCTGGTTGCTGCGCAGTCAGTCGTAAAAAAAGCCATCCATCGGTGCTACTGTGCAGTAATGGGTTACTGTGAAGTCATCTAGTACTTGTAATGTACTGAGTAATGACTGCTCAGTCAGCACTCTGTATAGATGTGGCCACTGACCAGGAGTTTGGCATGGGTGAAAGTCAGTTGTCCTGGTCTCATCATTTCATACCTCAGCAAAAACTTTTGATAGAGAGGTAGCATTTGACAGAGAGCTTACCCCACCAAACTCACCAGTCCATTAGTTAAACAGTTAGTGAGTCTACGTACAAGCTGAGAGTCTGCTCTGATGCACTGTAATTACAGTGCATTGAAGCAGACTCAATTAATTGAATCCGCTGAAGCCTGGTAATCACTCCACTCCAGCCAGACTGTGTCTCATGTATCAGTGTTCCTATACTTCAAAATGGTGGTGGGGGTGCTTTAACTAAAACTCATTCAATGAGCTTTAGATAAAGCACCCCTGCTGCCATTTTAAAGTGAAGGGATGCTGATACATGAGAGGCTCTGGGTGCTTTAATTAGAACTGCTAATTAAAGTGACCCACCCACTTCAGTCCCAGAGGGTGTGTAAAAATACCCTTAGAGTAACACCAATGTCAAATATGGGAACGGGCTTATAAGGAGGACAGGGTTGTTGCTGTCATCTTGTGCACAGATGTATTTTTATTGAAATATCAGAGTAACTGGGGTTTGTATAATTATTTATGTATGTTATATCTTTAAATGGGTTCATTGCCAATGAAAATTCTCTAAGTGGCAGCACTAGAAATAGAAGGACCAGTGCTTATGCAATCTCTTCCCACATAGTCCTTGCCCTAATCTGTAAAGGCAACCTCTGAATAGGTGACAGGGGAATTCAGTTTCCAGATGGTTCATTCAGCTCTTGGCCCTTCTTAGACTGCAAAAGAAGACTAGTCAATGAAAGCTGCAGTGGGATTTGTGATGCCTGCAATGGGTCAAAACGAGACCCATTGAGTGTGGAGCAGCAGCTAGATGGCAATGATCTCCGATTCTTAATAACCTGGCTGCCAATAGGGAGGTTATCCTACATCAGTAGATCCATCATGGTTTCATTAGCGTTGACCCATCAATGCTGGCATTTGCAAGATTACTGATGAGCAGATTCACCTGAGCAGAAGTAGCACTTCAACCTGCTGAACAATCCTCACTTCATTGTCTCCAAAAGAAGCTGCTGCGGCCTCAGGGATACAAGAAAGGGGTGAAAGTAGAATGTTTGACAATCCAGCATCTGGTGGTTTATTACTTTGGCCAAGGGCGGGAGTAGCAATAACAAGGCTGTTAATATATGGGGAAAAAACAGTTCTTTCTTTCTTTTCTTCCTTCCTTCCAAATTTGTATGCCACTCTAACAGGGAGACTAGAGTTCCTGTTACTTTAAGAGGAAAGAATGTGGCAGAGGGAGCCCAGGCAGCTGAATAGCAGCTAGTTGCAAGAGGATAGACAGCAAAGAAAAGCTTCTGCCCGGGCACATTAAGGAGAAGAGGAACACCGGCAGCCAATCAAGAGAACACTGCACAGAATAACCTGATTGGCTTCAAGGGAACAGACCACTAAAAGCCAAAGGCTATGAGTGCTTGTTGCAGAGCCACCTGCTCTGCAATAGGACAGAGCCTAGTTCAGGCTACAAGGGCGCTACCAGAATAGCAGTTGTAAGCTGCTGAGGAAAACAGCTGTCAGGCCGTAATGAGAAACCCCTGCAGGTGGCTGTGGGAAGCACCTGACCAAAAGAGGCAGGGTTTGGGGAAGCATATAAACCCAGGGCCTGACCCAGGCCAGGAGTCTGACCCTGAAAATGGCTAAGGAAAGAGCTCCAGAGCAGAGGAGTTTCTGAGCAGTCTTTGAGCTTCTCTGGCTATGTCGTTCACATGCTACTGACCTGCAGTGGAATAGGGCTTTGGGCAGGGGGAAGTTTATGAGTCAGCAGAGAGGCTGAGGCTTGGGTTTAGACCTAGCAAGGAATTTATGTTCTGGCCAGAGGGCTTACTCTTTTGTTATAGTTAAAACCAGTGGATCTCTGGACTAGGAGGTCCCAGAGTGCCAGAGAGGCTTGAGGCTTCTAGGACAAGGTGCAAGTTGCAGTGTAGCCCAGATGGTGAGAATCAGGGCCAGGGGCCTAGCAGTAGAGGAAGAGAGACCGAGACAAGGTCAAGGGCCCAGTGCCTGGGAGAGGTGGAGTTAGGGCTAGATGCTTGCAGCCCAAGAAGAGCGAAGACTGATAAGTAACTTAAGAGCCTGAGAAAGCAGAAAATGAGACCAGGGCCAAAGGCCCACTGAACTGATTGGTGACACCTGGGCATGGCTACAGAGGAGTTTTGGAGACCAGAAATCTAGCCCATAAGGTAACAGGTACCCAAGCAGCACATACGGGCCAGGAGGGCCAACTTAGTGAGAGGGATATGCTGACAAGAAGAGAGATTAGGGCTCACTCTAGGGTCCCAGGGCAGCCCTGCTTTCTAAACTTAAGAACATTGAGGTATGGGAGTAAAGGGAGGGACCTTGGGGCCAAAGCAGAGCAGGAGCCACCGGGCCACCAGGAAGTCATGATCCCCACCCCTGGGGCTTGGTCCTGTTACAGCCACCCTTTCCAAAAAGGCTCAAGGTAGTGATTCCCCCGCATGATCTTGGTTATTTACCCCTCTATGCCCCAGCTCCCTGGGTGTCAAACGGAGGTAACAGCACTGTTCCCCCTCACAGGTGACATGTGAGAATATATCATTAAATTGAGGCCCTTGGATGCTCTGGGCATGTGTAAATGAAATGGGGGCACTAAATTGAAGCGGTGGATTTAAAAAAAAGCTGCTTCGATTTAGGGCTGATTAAACTCCTGTGTGATGCACACACCTTGCTGACTTGCCTTCCTTTCTGGCGGGGTGGGGAGGGCGAGCTGCTGGTGGGTGGAGTGGTCCCTGGGTGGGGGGGCTGGTGCTTCCCTCTGTGGCAATGGTGGCGCCCCCACAGGTGGCACCCGCCTACAGGCACCTGGCTCGGGCGATCCTGGGGGCACCGCAGCCACAGAGGGAAACATTGGGCCCTCGTGCAGTGCAGGCAAGCAGGCTCCAGGGGAAATGGGAAAAAAAAAAGATCAGGTTCATTGCTTTTTTGGGGTGCAGCTCTTTTCCCGGGCTGCTGCCAGGCTGCCTGCAGGGCTTTTTGCAGAGCTGTGGAGCTGCACGGAGCCTGGTGCTTCGCTCCGTGGTGTAGGGGCAGCTAACTAAAACTCCTTGAAGGAGTTTTAGTTTGCTGTGCCCCAAGTTATTTAAGGTGCATTACACTGCTGATTTTCCTACAGTGGCTGAAATTAATGCACAATGTGCTGCTGAGGCGTGCAAACACCGACACCATTACGTGGTCCAAAAGCATTTAGTCCTCTTTAAAGTGCCATGCACACACGCCTCTCATTTCATCTACACACGACCTATGATACTTGAGAAGAACAGAAGCTAGATAGATAGTTAGTTAGGTTTCTCCAAGGAAGGAAATTGGAGCCTTGGCTTTCAGGCCCTTTAGGTTTTCACTGTATGGATGGCTGACTTGTGTTTTGATGCTACAGATGCATTGCATGAAATGACTTGTTCTTTTGGCACTTCCACTGCAGATTCTAGCAACAAATATTTGGATAGTTTCCACAACCTGGACTCAGAGACAGACAGTACGGTGTGATGCAGCAAACTCTTTACTAAGCTCCTTCACCCAACTGAGGTGTACTGTAGATGCTGTTTACTGCCTCCATATATATCTTCAGTGAATCTTCTTAAGCAGTAGCCTAAGTATGAAACTTCAAGAAGGGGTACAAAAAGCAGTATTGCAGTCTAGCTCAAGTGCAGGGCAAGGGTCTTTGATAGGCAATCTAGGTAACCCCAGCTGAGCTGTAGCTACAGGAACTAGCTACAATGTACAGATCAGGTCCAGCAGAGGCATGAAAAAGGTGGACAGGTGACAAAAGGTAATTCTAACTCTTGCCTGTGATTTTACCCAGTGACTCTTTTTTTTTTTTTTTT